TCTGCACTCATTTCTTTACTCTTTTAACATATGTGACTATTATCTTTATTTGGTATTGCAGGTGAAGTTGTATTATTGTGCATATACAAATAACCCGGATGAACACGGCAGTAACAACTACAGTATAATATGCAAGTGACAGAAAGCAGATGTCAATATTAACAACACCATTTCTGATGCTATACGTGTTTATCAGCTGCCAAAAATAATATTGAAAGACTTTGTAGAAGCTGGCTTTAACAACACAAGTCACCCTTAAGATTTCATGGAATTAATCTGAGAACTACAGATGGATGTGGAATACTCCTGCTTACAAAGAGAATAAGATGCTTTCAACACTTGTGTCAGCTGCCACTTAAGCTGTTGAAACTCATTCTTTTTGCAAAAGATATTGGTTACAAGCGTACATTTAAAACCGCACGTATAATGGAAAAACTTTTGAACTTCATGTCGGTTTCTTAAAGTCAAGAATGCAACAAGTGAAACCAACCTAAAATCACTATATGTGTCAAGACTCAGAAATTAACTGATAGCTTTACAGTGGAATACAGAAATACAACTTCAACTTAAAATTAGCCTCTCGATATCATGTTCATATACATGAACATATACAGAGAGTTACATCAGTCCTTTTTATTTGGACTACAATTAAATGAAACTACTAGAACTCATCATAGGGGAACACAAAAACAGCATGTAATAATCTGTCTCCATTAATTAAATTCAAATCTTACAATGTTTATTTGAAGTATAAGCTATCCTAACTGTTCCAGCTTATACCTGTTGAATTTTCATTCAATTCTTAAAATAGTTGTTATCATGCTGTACACTTACTACATGTGTCTCCTGCTGCTGTAAAGATTTTTGTAATAAATAATTGCGTTCGACGATAGGAGAACGCATTCTAATCCCGTCATTCCCGCGGGTTTATGTCCCGCGATTTTCCGCGACGCCAGATAATTTCAGGATTTGGACGCCATCTTGGACTGGCTATGTGGCACACATGGCCTCGGTCTGATGTGATGCCTTGCTTTGAATAATGGCGAGGTCTTACATCAAGTGCTACCCGTGCATTTCCAAGTGCTATTCTTCGTTCGTTGTGCTACGTAGGAATCGTCGCAGTTTTCCCCAAGGTTAGTGAAGTTGTGTTGATTTATTTGAACTATTACAAGCTAAAATGCCTAAAGGTACTTATCTAAGTACCAGAAAGCTGAGTAGTGCTGTATTTTCTCCGAAACTGCGTGGGTAACATATCGATTTGTAATCTGTGTCGTCCTTCAGGAGTCAGCCGCTTTTCTCGGCGATTCAACTTCTCTGTGAGAATAAAGTTGCAAGGCTCGACCGTAATAGCTCGAATAAATCAACACAACTTCATTGACCTTGCGAAAGACAGTACATATTCCAACGTAGCACAACAAACGACGAAAAGGAAATGGAAATGCACCCCACTCAAGGAATCTCACTGCAGGTCAGCTTAATGGGCTCTTAATTGATGTAAGCCGGATGTAAGCTTGCATGCAAACTTAAGTTAGAAACGTTCACATTTGGAAATAAAGTTTAATGTACTGTTATTCTTTTCTATAGTTATACACAGTACTTAACCTTGCTAAACGATGCACCGTTTAGAGTAATGTGACATTTGATGCCAATAAAGGACAAAAGTTGAACAATACCCCAAAAATACACAATTTGGAAAACCCTGGCAGGGGAATGACATAAACGGGCTTTAGTATGCGCTGCTGTCAAGGGTATGCTTTTCCAGCAGTCTACTTTGGGTATAGGAATAAGGATCTGGCAAAACAGTCGGGGATCTTGATATAAAAAGAATTGAGTTTCTGATTCCTTTTATTATACATGGTGTGGAATATTATTTAGTATGAGAAGGTATTTCTGGTACCCAACCTACAATCAGATGTCCAAATACTAACTGAATATCCTCTGCTATATAAACCCCCAAAATACCATGTTCCTAGCAACACAACTGTTGACAAATTCCTAGAGTACCCCCTCCTCCCCCCGGGTATCGAATGCACTTCACTGATATCTGATTATTACTAGTTATGTAGTATAAAATGATTTTACCAAAGAACGAATTCAGCCACCTAAAGGGTTTCAAAAAGTAACCATATTTGGACATCAGAAGCTATGCATCACATTTGACTAGAATATGTTTATTTTCCTGTTTTTCACTGCACTACTGAAAAGAACTCTACAATGATCAATTTCTCTTCTCTTTCTATTCAACTACCTTTTCTACATTCATCCAATAGAGGCCTTTCCTAGTTGCCTTTTGCCTCTGTGTCAAAACGAGCCTAAGTGGGAAACCATTCATATGACTTTTTATTTATTTATTTATTTATTTATTTATTTATGGATTCGTACAAGTACAGGTGCTTAACAATAGGACACAAGTCCCCTACTTGGTTAATACACCCACAGCCAACCCCCTAAAAAATATCCCGAAAAAACCCTTCCCTGACCCGACTAAACTACAAATCAATAATCTAAATCACACAAATACAATCTAAAATATACTAATCAACTTAACAAGTACAGACAAAGAAAATATTAACACGGCGACACTTAGGACAAATTAATTTAAAAGAACGA